AATAATAATTCTGTAAGGACCCATGCTATGTAGCTACATTTAGTCATACTATAATAATTCAGTAAGACCATCCCATGTAGCTGCATTTAGTCCTACTATAATAATAATTATGTAAGGGCTCGTGCTATGTAGCTACATTTAGTCATACTATAATAATAGTTCAGTAGGATCCCATGCTATGTAGCTACATTTAGTCATACTATAATAATAATTCTGTAAGGGCTCGTGCTATGTAGCTACATTTAGTCATACTATAATAATAGTTAAGTAAGGTCCCTTGCTATGTAGCTACATTTAGTCATACTATAATAATAGTTAAGTAAGGTCCCTTGCTATGTAGCTACATTTAGTCATACTATAATAATAAGCAAGTAAGGTCCCATGCTATGTAGCTACATTTAGTCATACTATAATAATAGTTCGGTAAGGTCCCTTGCTATGTAGCTACATTTAGTCATACTATAATAATAGTTCAGTCAGGTTCCATTCGATGTAGCTACATTTAGTCATACTATAATAATAAGTAAGTAAGGTCCCATGCTATGTAGCTACATTTAGTCATACTATAATAATTCAGTAAGACCATCCCATGTAGCTACATTTAGTCATACTATAATAATAAGTAAGTAAGGTCCCTTGCTATGTAGCTACATTTAGTCATACTATAATAATACTTCAGTAAGGTCCCTTGCTATGTAGCTACATTTAGTCATACTATAATAATACTTCAGTAAGGTCCCTTGCTATGTAGCTACATTTAGTCATACTATAATAATAATTCAGTAAGAGCCCATGCTATGTAGCTACATTAAGTCATACTATAATAATAATTCAGTAAGGGCCCATGCTATGTAGCTACATTAAGTCATACTATAATTATAGTTCAGTAAGAGCCCATGCTATGTAGCTACATTAAGTTATACTATAACAATAATACAGTAAGGGCCCATGCTATGTAGCTACATTAAGTCATACTATAATTATAGTTCAGTAAGAGCCCATGCTATGTAGCTACATTAAGTCATACTATAATAATAGTTCAGTAAGAGCCCATGCTATGTAGCTACATTAAGTCATACTATAATAATAATTCAGTAAGGGCCCATGCTATGTAGCTACATTAAGTCATACTATAATAATAATTCAGTAAGGGCCCATGCTATGTAGCTACATTAAGTCATACTATAATAATAATTCAGTAAGGGCTAACGCTATGTACTTACATTAAGTCATACTATAATTATAGTTCAGTAAGAGCCCATGCTATGTAGCTACATTAAGTTATACTATAACAATAATACAGTAAGGGCCCATGCTATGTAGCTACATTAAGTCATACTATAATTATAGTTCAGTAAGAGCCAATGCTATGTAGCTACATTAAGTCATACTATAATTATAGTTCAGTAAGAGCCAATGCTATGTAGCTACATTTAGTCATACTATAATAATAGTTCAGTCGGGTTCCATTCGATGTAGCTACATTTAGTCTTACTATGATAATAATTCAGTAAGGTCCCATGCTATGTAGCTACATTAAGTCATACTATAATAATAATTCAGTAAGGGCTAATGCTATGTACTTACATTAAGTCATACTATAATTATAGTTCAGTAAGAGCCCATGCTATGTAGCTACATTAAGTCATACTATAACAATAGTTCAGTAAGAGCCCATGCTATGTAGCTACATTTAGTCATACTCTAATAATAGTTCAGTAAGAGCCCATGCTATGTAGCTACATTTAGTCATACTATAATAATAGTTCAGTAGGAGCCCATGCTATGTAGCTACATTTAGTCATACTATAATAATAGTTCAGTAGGGTCCCATGCTATGTAGCTACATTTAGTCATACTATAATAATAGTTCAGTAAGGTCCCATGCTATATAGCTACATTTAGTCATACTATAATAATAATTCAGTAAGGTCCCTTGCTATGTAGCTACATTTAGTCATACTGTAATAATTCAGTAAGGTCCCATGCTATGTAGCTACATTTAGTCAAACAGCTTTCACCTTCTATGCTGTTTGTTTTAAGAAACGTTAAAACGTACGGTTTTTGGAATATATGAAAGTATGATTTTACTTGACGAGGCAAGGTAAAATGTTAGAACCCTTGCATTTGAAAGTAGACCCGTCCCCTAAAAAGAAAGTCCGAACATTCTGCCACTGGTTAGGTTAGAGCCTGCCGGTATAGAATTTTGAAACGTATCAAAACCCAAAGATATTGCTTAATCATATCATACTGATGTGTGTGTTATGTAACAGTATCCGTCTTAACGCAATACAACTATGCATGTCAATAATGCTGTAACAACAAAATCGTGGGGACCCATCAATGAATATATCATAAAGTAACAAAGGACTACAAATTAATGCTTAAAGGGCAATATAACTCGTTGTTGTGGAATCTTTAAAGAATAATTTTGTGATCCGGTAAGTAATATTTTGAAATGTGGTTAGGAATCCGGCCAGTAACGTTTTGAGAGTTAATAAGTAATCCGGTCACTTAAATATTGAGTGATGGTAAGCGGTTAAGTAATCCGGCCAGTAATATTTTGAGTGGTGGTTAGCACTTAAGTTATCCGGCCAGTTACGTTTTGAGTGGTGGTTAGAAGTTTATCAGTCCGGCCAGTATTTGTTTAGTGGTGGTTAGCAGTTTAGATATCTGGACAGTAACGTTTTGCGATGTGACAAAGGGTCCGGCCAGTAACGTTTTGGGTGATGATAAGCAGCAATATTGCCATCTTGCAGTAACGTTTTGGGTCGGTAAGTGATCGGGCTTGTAACGTTTAATGTGGTGTAATCAGATAGGGCAGAAAGGTATTGAGTGGTGGCAAGTTAATGATCCGGCCAGTAACGTTTTGAGTGGTTGTAAACAGACCTGGCCAGTAACATTTAGATAAGTGGTAAGGAAATCGGCCAGTTAATGTTTAGTGTTGAAAACAGTACGGTCAGTAAAAGTTTGAGTGACAATATGCAGATTCGGTCAGTTAAGTTTTTAGTGTGGAAAAACATGACAGTCAGTAACAGTTTGAGTGGTGCTTGGTAGATCTGACCAGTAACAGTTTTAACAGTAGTAAGTTGATCGGGTCAGTATCGTTTTGTCGGGTGATATGTGATCCGGCCTGAGTAACGTTTTATATGTTGTTCAAGTAAATTTTATTTAAAAGTCGGTATATGGTTAAAAAAGGCAACACAAGCCTATGGAAGGCTTTTACACCGTTAACCAGTCTAGTCACCCGGCCAGTAACATTTTGAGTGTGGAAAGGAATAAGTGACCCACCCAGTAACAAGATGAGAAGTGATTAATAGATCTGACCAGTAACGTATAAAGTGGTGGTAAGGGGTATCACGTTTAGAGTGGTAAACATTTTAGAAATGTATATTGTAAACGCCTTATCATTGTGAATAAAAATATTTAAAAAAAAAACAATAATTGAACGTTGGTTGACTCTTTTGCTTCTTTACAGTCAATAATACCATTACGCATCTTCGCTAGCCAAGTGGTCGCTTTGTGTACACTCCACTTACCCCAGGTGGCAGTGGAGGGAATTATGAAGTTTTTTTCAAGATTTATTTTTTATGACGCTCTGACACACAAAGTGTGTAACAAGAGGTCAAACAAAATAACATCAATCAAATAACACATGACAGAGAGAGTAGATTACACATGGACAGATTAAGCATGAACTTTGGAGTGTTAGCCAAGCGAGCACTTGGCTAGCGAAGATGACCATTACGATGGTCAATTTTTTTTTGTCCATATTGGTGTGGTCTTCGTAGCCCTCGAAAATATCTAAGACAACGCCAAATCTACTGGTGCATGAACAGCTATGTTCCAAACAACACAAAGAATATTGGAACAAACCAAATATGTCAATAATAGGAAAATGTCTCAAACGACACAAAACCCGCTGGTACAAAGTCATGGTTTCAAACAGCGAAAATGTTGCTGGCATAAACTTATTGTCTCGAGCAGCGTAAATTCTCCTGGTACAAAGTCATTGTCTCAAGCAGTTTGAATTCTGCTGGTACAAAGTCATTGTCTCAAATAATGTAAATTCTACTAAGACAAAGTCATGGACCCAAACAGCGTTAATGATGCTTGGACACAGACATTGTCTCAAACAAGCTAATTCTGTTGGCACAAAGTCTATGTCTCAATCAACGTTAATTCTTTGGTAACAAACTGGTCAAGTGTGACCTTTAACCCTTCACTATTGACCACCGAAACCAAATCAGTAGTAGAACTCAATATTGTCATACTACTGTGGTACTGTGTATATATGTAGGGACTCTGTTGAGGGGTTCATGAAATAGATTGAGCACAAACCGTTTACTGTGGAGGGAGGAATACAACATTCACTCACTATATGCCAACTTTCACTAAGTGCCAGGGCCCACTTGTATAAAGCATCTCAACTCTTGAGATTACCTCAAGTCTAAGATTTCCCATAGACATTACATTGCTTGAGATTTTCTTTAACTTTGAGATGTTTTATACAAGTGGGCCCAGATGTTGGCCCAAAATACATTTCTTGCAATTTGGTAAGAAATTTTTTTTTTTGAAAATGGGACTGATCCATCCTATAACAACATATATATAATATTGCAGTATCAATACCTTGCAGCAATAAATTTAATTCTGGCAAAAAAAACACCATTAGCCTGTTTTGTCTGATAAATTTCAAGACTAACATTATGTAAAGTGGTGTTTTTTTTCAATTTACTGTAAGAAAACTTGCTAAATCATGCTCTCTTTCCATACTTCTTTCCAAAATTAGTGAAAAGTACACTGCTTTTCAGGTAATGCAATATTTTTTTATTTATTGCAATTTTCCCTATATTTTGCAATAATATTGCAATATTCCCTATATATTGCAATATGAAATTTGCTTGCAATACCCACCTCTAAAATCAGTCAGTATTGGATATACAAATATGTCAAGTCAGAGACTGACACTGACAGCATAAAAAACACAACATCAGAAATATCATGAAGGCAATTTATTTATCTGTTAGTCATTCTCCACGAAAGGTAGCACATATAAAACAAAACATACATTATGCTACATTTGTGCCGCTCTTTATTAACGATGGACTTTACAATACTGATATCAGGTGCCTGTACTGTGCACTAAGAAAAAACAATCTACCACTCATAATCTACACAGATGTAGACCACAATCTGCATCGTATTGAGCAATGTATAAATAATCTAATCGTGGATTGTCCAGTATTACCATGCTTATAATCATTAATTTGATCAAAAATCACAGCTTTTCGAACTTCTAATACCGATTATCTTTTGATCATAATTGTGAGCGAGAAAATTTTTTCCAGAATTTATAATACTTATACTGTTGAAATAATACTTATTACAGAATAAACCATGATTTGAAAGAATTACAGGCTGAAATTTGGCAAATTACATCATGCTGTATACATAACCCTTAGGATCAGAACATGATATCATAATGCTTTTTAATACTTGAAATTGCATCCATACAGTCACACACACATGTGATAGCATTAGTATATATACTACAATGTATAAGCCAGGAAAGATTGCTGTATACCCACAAGATAAAGAATCTATAAAAATGTTTATATACAGAGAACTGAAATAATTAAATATGTAAATATTCTTTTCATAAATATACTTGCTATCTGAACATCAATAAAAGATCAGGTATAATATACAGATGACTTGATGTGTATGCAGAATGTATGTGTGCAAAAAACATGACCAGTACTCAAGGATATCACAAAAGTAAAAAGAAGGTCTACGTTACAAACGTGACAATAAAAACTTCAAAATCATTTTTCCTATCGAAAGAAAAATAGTTCTACACGCGTTGACTACAGTAACATATAAATATAAAGAAATAAATTCTCTTTAAAGTTCCAACAAATTTGACCCTGAATGTGACATTTCATTAATACTGACAAAATTTCACCTCGCAAGTTCTGAGCTCTGGTTTTATTATAGTTATTTACTCACTGGGGAAAAATAAACATTTACCACAAAATTTAAATAAACTTAAAGACAACAGTTACAGTAACTATAATTCTAAACATATATAGTTAAACATCCTGGAAATATCACAGCCAGAGCTATGGACAGAAAGAGACTATGGAAATGTTCCATCAACAAGGAAAAAAAATTAAATACATTATTTCTGAAATATATTGGCAGGAATGTAAATGTTATCGCACAGATTTCAACTGTAGTTGTAAACTGTAAATAAAACAGGTTTTTTGTCCGAAATTTATATCATCCAAAATCGTGTTTCCAATTTCAAAATCTAGTCCTGGACATCAACTATTAATGGTGCCAAGTATTGTGAATGACGGATTCCAAATGAGAATGTAGGATTTTGTTTCTTATTGATGTAGACCTGTAAATGAAAAGAAAAAGTGTATTTAGTAGAATATCAAATAGTCATATTTTTAAGACTAACATAGTATCCTAATTACATTTTAATTTCACAGAGCTGCTGTATAAGATTTTGAAGCTGGAAAATGTCAAACTTCGTTGAATATTAACCCCATATTTTTAATAACTTTCTAACATTTTGAACTGTTTCTATTTCAACAACTTAAGTTATCATGCAGTAAATGTAACATAAAAAGTCTGCTTAATTTCAATATCGAAAGAACTTAACAGGTAATAACAATTTAAAAATAATTTGCCCTTAAAATGTTTAATTGACACTGTTAAATGTTTAAGTAATACAGGTTTTGTATGCCACCTGGTGTAGAACAGGCAGGAGAAACTTACATTTTCTGGTGAGTGAGCACCAGGTCCTGGTTTCTTTGTGGTGTCACCAGGCATCATATTTCTACTTGTCATGCTGTACAGAGCAGCTTTGGATTTGTATGCATTGGGATCGGTGGTACCATATGTTCCGGGTCCCGGGGCCTGTTACCAACCAACACAACACAAGTACATATTAGAACACCAAGAATACAACATATGATTTAACCAAACCTTTGTGATTTTTTTTAAATAATTAAATAACTTGTGTGCAAAATCACTTACTCTAGAAAAAATAAAAAAATCTTTAAATGAAAATTTGTTCCTCGAATGTACATACCAGAGTTATCAGAAGTTATGATTTATATGTACAAACGTAATTCAATTTACCCAAACAATCTCAAAATGACTCTAAGTGCACTGCAGCTGTTTTATTGGCTATGAAGCTTAATAACCTAACAAGGGGGGGAAACTCTTACCTTGGCCATATCTTCACCGAAGCCTCCCTGTGTTTGGCGGCCAGTCATGGAGTAGATTGGAGACTGTTTCTTTCCACTCTGCACAGTTTTGCCAGTCATATCAGGAAGGGTGTAGTTGTTAGCAGCTGAAGTAAACAAGATTTACTTATTAACACATTGCTAATAAATAAAACACCGATCTTTGAAAAGTGAAATATCAACATTTCTCTCTCAAGTTATAATTAATCTTCAGTGTGTTCCTGATATGCATATTGAGAATAAATTGAAAATAAAAAGTGTTGCAAAAACGGGGCTACTAAAAAAATAAACAACATAGGCCTGTTTACTTTTGGTTGCCTGTAAATCAAGCAGGCCTTATGTGGATTTGGTCAGTTTTCCTGTTTGGAAAATATAGTTTTGTTTTCATCAAAACTACACACAAAGAAAAAAAGAAAAAATCTGTATGTTGATATAGTTCAACTGTTTGGATTGGAAACCTTACCATAAATTCATTTCAGCAAATTAATAAAAAAAAAAGTGTATGTTGTAGGGGAAATCTGTAGATATTATGTTTGTTAATTTTCCTCTGTAGTGGTAATGAGTATCTAGGAATCAAGTTTCAAAGTAATGTCCTAAAAAGTCCTACATGCATAAAGTTATTTACACACATCTTTTTATCAAATGTTTGATAATACCTGCACAGGAATTTATTCTGTTTTACCTATAATCATTGTATATTTGGGTGTGTATCCTATCAAGGTTTGAATGTTCATACATCATTTGTGTTATAAATATAAACAAGGATACTATCGTTACTCATATCCTGATTCATATTATAACTAGATATCTTGTAATACAATACAATTCATCTCAAGGTGTGATAAAAAAAATCCAACAGAAAATAATCGTATGAATGCCTGACAGAATACTGTAAAAACTGAAATATTTATTGATAAAAAATTGTACATGAACGTAAATATCCATTAACTCTCGGCGACCACCTAACTTGTGAATTGCACGTTAACATTCACAATGGTGGCTCTATGGAGATACTGATCAGGAAGGGATCTCAAATGCCATCTAGAATTTCATTATTAATTTTTTCACGAAACCCTAAACAGTCTATACCTACATGGTAATCATTATTTAACCTTCTCAATCATGGTCTTCAGTATTCCACCCACACAAGCACTTAAATCCCTGAATCACTTGAGATATGCGTGATAATAGTGGCATATTGGCACTTTCAGTATGTACACTACAGCTTAGCTGTAGGGTCTAGGTAAGCGGTCAATTCATTTCCAACAATACATACATCATATACGTTATAGTGTTTGTCTGTTTAAAACAATACTGTTGACATTTAAGCTTGGACAATATTCAGCTCCTGGTCTGTGAAACTCAGATATTGATTATACCTAAAACACACTAGACAGTTCACTGGTAACAAAATGGTCCAACAATTGTTTGAAGATAATATAAACTCTTTTCACAGTGTTTTAGCCCATCAATGACATAACATTTGTTGATAAGAAATTCACATCACGTTTTAGAAAACTAACACTATTTTACTATTCATGAAAATACTGAAACCAGCTCCAGTACAGAATTTCAATAACCTTTTGAGTTTTAATTTTCTTCAAAATATTTCTATATTATTTTCTGTCTTCAGTACTTTTTTCAACAAAGAACTTGAGCAAGTCTAGTAAACTTACACCGCAGACATAACGTGACATGGAAATCAATAAATCCCAAATACAGTTGTAAAGGGAAGGTGTGACTGTGAATAGGTATCAATCAATAACATCACATGCATACATTATTTTACAATAAACAAGTGGATGGTGAAGTGTCAATTTAGTGTACACAAATTTTTAATTATTCAAATTCCTTTAAAGTGCTAATCTTATTGCTTCGGAATAAATTTTCTTTCAACATGGATCTAATGATTTTTTGTATAAAACATTGAATGTCTGATCTGGGAGATAAAAGTGTGTAATCTGATAAAGGCTGGTATATTTTCCACTGGAGTTACTGTACTATACGACTTATTCAATACAAGCCAGTACGAGTTCATGGATGAATAAATTATAATGCACATGTATACGCATTGAATGTTATAATACAGTTTAAATATCTAGGGCAGTTAATGGAATTTTAAAGATGTAATCAGAAATCAATTAATCTTTCATTCCCATTACTGACATTTAAATACAGATAAATGGAACCTTCCAAATAAATGTTGAATGCTTCCCCACACCTTTTATTGAGTAAATGGAACCTGCTAAACTGTAGTTTTTGGTTGTTTTTTTTACTGGTACTATAATGCTGTTAATTGAATCAAACATTATAACTTATGAGAATTATTGCTTTATTAATTCAATTATTGTAAATAAACACAACAAATTTACATTTTCAAAGAGAAGTATTTTTGTAGTCATGACAATCTGTTAAACTTAAAGGGTGAAAAAGTTACTTACTCAAACATGCATTTTATGGCAGGTATCTCCTGTTTCTAGTCCTTTTTATAAGATTTTAATTAAATGTTATACATATGTTAGATGTAGATAAAATTTATTTTAATTGCATTTCAGATTATTGTTCTACTTCAATGATAACAGCGATTTCTGTAATGTTTCAATGATAGATTATAGGGATTGTTGTTTTATTTCATGGTTTGTTGATTATAGGGATTGTTGTTTTATTTCATGGTTTGTTTATTATAGGGATTGTTGTTTTATTTCATGGTTTGTTGATTATAGGGATTGTTGTTTATTTCATGGTTTGTTGTTCTATTTAGGAGATTGATTTTTTACTTTGCTGTTAACAGGACTGTTATTCTATTGTAATGATAACAGGAGAAATTGTTGTTCTAGTTCAATGATAACAGGACTGGTTAATAAGTTATATTCCAATTATACTCTGGATTGTAAGTCTATTTCAATGACAGAAGTTTTCTTCTATCAATAGGAGCTGGGACTGTTGTGCTTTTATAATCAAATGAAAAAAGGAATAGCCACTGTGCTTTATTGAATTAAGAATTACACACCTACATTTCAAGCAAAATCATGTGTCAGTGTGGTGCACTAAACACACCAAGTGAATGAAACTGTACCTGGTGTGTTATCTGTCTTCCTGTTTTGGTGACGTGTGCCGAAGCTGTGTGCTGGGTGTCTGTGATGGGAGGTAGGTCCAGCCTTCTCTGGGCTGTATGCACCAGGACCTGGCACTTTGAACACGGAGAGGTCCTTTTTTCTTCCATACAGAGAATAGCTGGGGGTACCATCAGTACCATCTTTATACACCTTAGGGTTAAGCAAGTAGCAGGGGCCAGGGCTGCAGTCATCCCTGAATTTTCCGTGACGAATTCCAAAGGGATAAGCTGGTCCCTTATTATGCAGACTCCTAGGGTCATGAAACTTTTGTCCGACTAACCCAGGAAGTCCGTAACATGGGCCAGGGCTGCTGTACATGGCAGCAATAGGCCCCCGGGGTTTCGTATAATTGTACACCATGTTTATTCACTAAGTCTGCACACTCCTGAAAAAGGGAAAGAAAGTATTGGTCACTTTTCTGTTTTAAACAATCTATATAATTTCTGTTCCTCACAAATGAAAAGTTACATAATTAAAAGTACCACTACTGTACTTCACTAAGTGGAAGTAACAAAGTTGGACGTGTCAAAACTAGAAAATACAGCACATATGATATAATAGTTAACATCATAACTCAACTTTCAAATCAGTTTCTCTTTACAACATATTCTCTACAGAAATCCTGATTTTCTGAAGCCAAAGAAGCCCCTAGTTACCGGAATCTTGTTAGTATTCAGCATATTTCTACAGTTGGATTTCAAATAGATTTATTAAACAAGAAATTAAAATAAATTCATGAGAGTTCAGGCACCAAAATAAATCCAGAGGATAGAGCAATAATACAAAATAGAATTCAATTAAATTCAGTACATAGAAACATAACAAAACTACCCCCACCTCTGTTAGCATGACAGGTTGTTATCAGGGTTTACCTTAACACAGTTTTATATAGATAGGAGATACAAGATTTACCACTTCAAAACACTCAGAATAGCTCTATCACTAGGCAAACTCTAATGTAATGAAATGTATGGTGTCATGAATATTTGATTTATTTATATAGTAACATACCAGCTTAATAATTCATAGTATTTTAGTTATTAACCCGGACCACAAGTCACTGCTACGCTATCAGATATACTTGGTAAAAAATCTAAAGCACACTCAGATCGGACAAGAATTATGGTGGTCCAATTTAAGCAAACAAATTGAAACCTTTTAAGTTTCTGTCCACCTATAGCATAGTAGTTCTATCAGATAACGAGACTTTTATCTAAATATACAATATCTTCCATAAAGCAAACATATACAATATCTTCCATAAAGCAAACAGTCTTACCTTGTACCCACAAAACAAATAAATGTCAACAAATTGACAACAGATCAGGGAATAAGTTAGTATCCAACACCATAGAGTAACAAACAACACACACACCGAGGTGGACTGGCACACCAAACACCACTATGGCAGACCCAGTACTGTCAGTATGTTTGTCTTATTGTTTGGTTAATGCTACCCAGCAACCAGCTCACAGACTTCTATGGATTCATTAGCATACACAGGAACCCTAGCCAGGGCGCTTGGCCTCACTGGTCTATTTAAATACACAAAAGAATAAAAGACCTCGCACAAAAGAATTAGGTAGATTTAAGTAGATGTATTTTTGCAGTATTGTTATTTCCAATACACATGACTTAAAAACAGAACTTAAAAGTCTTAACTATTTTTTTTTATCCGTATTAGTAATCCCTTCAATGAACATTTACCTGTATTTTTTTATGTTGCCATATTGCAAATCTTACTTTTTGGCTACCTGTAAATTATTATGATTAATACATTTTAAATAAAATGGAAAACTGAAGTACCATTTCTGAAACATACCCCGATATAAGGTGAATTTTGAAACTTTCTTTATGACAGAAATACATACCACATTATTTCTTTTGCAACTTAACTGCTTTAAAGCTGTTATTTTAATGTAACTTGAATCTTAGTTTATTAAATAATGAAATGTGTTTGAAAAGTTACATTTTGGTTCTGTCAATAGACAGTTTGCTACCTGAGAAATCTGTCTGTACATGTATATAGCATGGATATTAGTTTTCTGATACATTATATGTTTGTATAGAAAATTTACGGGTATTAGATTATCATGAAAGGACTGTATACCCCATTTCTTCCAGAACCCATTAGCCTCAATCAGGTGTTTTATGATACATTAGCATGAAATTAATGGCTTGAAAATCTTTTTAGTCATATCTGAATATTATTTACATTAATATTGTCATTGAAAGTGAACATCTTAGATGTATTACTGCCCCAGTTAAGAACAATGAAACTAAATTTTCAAATTAAAATATAATAATTGTATACAAAGTAGGGGTCCCAGGGGCCAAACACACAAGATACTGGCTTGTTTAAGTAAAGGGGTTGAACATTTTTAGGGAAAAGACTTGAGAGGTTGTAATATTCACAGGGGCCAGACAATGAGATATAGGCTTGTGCAAGTCTTGTGGTCAAAAGTATTGTCCAGGGACCAGGCACATGATGTCATGCATTAAAACACTGACCTGTAATTCAAATGATAGCAAATTATCTACACAGGGTTCAGACACCGAGATATATATACAGTACTGGGGTTGACCATTATATACACAGAGAGTGGTCACATCAGGTATATAGGGTTTTGTAAGTATAGGGATCATAGTAAGTATTATATACTCATCAGATTTAGAAATATAGGGATTGGTTATCACATTCACAGGAGCCAGACACATGACATACTAAGGCTTACATGTAAAGTGGATAAATATTACCAGATAACACAGGGGCTGGACCCTTCAGTAATTGCTTGTGTAAGTATAGGGGTCGAGTACATGATATATATATATATATATATGCAACAAATCTTTTAGAAATTATTCAGACTTGAAGACCCTACGCTTAGTAAATCATCAAGGTGGTTTCAATCCAAAATACATTATACATGTATTCATGGAAGATGGATGATAACAGAGACTGATACATTCACTTAGAGTGTCACCGATGTTGTCTATATATATTGAGAGAATATATGCATGTTCTAAACTTTTTACAAAGCTCAACTTATATGATCTATCACGAATTCTGGGGGCGAGTCAAAACAAATTATCTTCCGTTTTATAAAAGTGTGCAATACATTATATATACCAAGTAATGTAAGTTGAACAACATGCCTTTTTGCACATTACGAGATTGCTCCAGACTGAAGTCATTAAGCTCCTCAGTACTGATTTTTTAACAGAGTTAAGACTATAATTTATGATAGGTTTGGCCATTCTAAATTAAAATACTTTTAAAGTCTGAAGGTACCTAAGATTAAGTGTGCAGTAGTGGTTTCACTGATTTAAAGGGCAGATTTGCAATCTAATAATGTATACATAAGCTTTAAAGGCAATTTAAACGAAAACATTTATTACCAATCCCAGATTGAACACTTTAAACAGATACAATCTGTTTTCAAATTTCAGTAAAAAATGTGATAAATTTGAAGTTCTTATCCTTGTCAGGTCTATGGAATATTGCCTATAAAATGAAGAATAGAAAGGGTGGTGTTTGAGACCTATGCTTTAAATGGTTCGTAGCCTTCATCAATTACCTTAAGCTGCTCAGGAGTATTGTGGAAAAACCCAATGATTGTTTAAGTTAACTCATTTAAATGAATAACAGCAACCCTGGAACCCTAACAGTTAAGTGTCTGGCTTAATCAACTCGATGAACTCTGTCTTTTTAATATTCAACAAATAATAGTCAAAATAAAATCTGTATGTGAACACAACTAAACCGGAATGATTTATCAAAGATAATTGAGTTAAATGTTCACATTTTTACTGTATAAAAAAATAGAAAGTAAATGAAGACATGTCTTTCCCATGACTTTATGTATAGTTATACTTGATATCAAAATTCAGTTAAATATATTTGCATCTTCTTATAAACATTATGTCCAGGTCCAGTTTAAAATTCATTAAAATCTACCCATAAAATTGCCAGAGCCACGACATTGAATCTTGATGTGAGGGACATTGGTTTTCTCTGGGTAGGTACTCTGGTGTCATCCCACTGAACCCCCCCCCACACACACACTTAACATTTGTGCCACACACACACACTTAACATCTGTGCCAACAAGAGTGATTAGCATAAGTTGTAAAAACTTGTTTCATAATAGTTGTAAAATAAACAAAGTTTGAAAAATATATATTTTATGATATCTCCATCCCACTCCCCCATAAAATGGTGGAGCATGTCACACAAGATAAGATCACCTGACAGTATTTACTTCACTGAATACACATTACAAACTAAGTTCACTGAAATTTTAATGTTACACCAGGTAAAAGGTATCCTTCCTTGGTGTAACACTCGGCCTGCTGATTACAACATCATCACTTATTCATTACCAATGGGAAGATGCTATGGGTCGGAGATCAATGTAGCCTAAAGGTAAGCTAAACAGCACTATAGGTACAGCTACACAGGGGACCTTTTACCTACTACAATGTACTAAGCCAGTCAATTGAACACTAGCTACTTCATGTACTCGTAAACAGACATTTGTACTGCCATCAAGATAATTTCCAATGTAGCAACAGAGTCAGAGGCGAAATAATATAAATTTGTACCTATTCACTACCTTATACAGTCTACCAACAGAAGCAAAATAATATGAAATGTTTTACAATAGTCAGACTTCATATATAAGGTTTTTTTCAGGGTTTTAAAAGAAGGAACAGAATAGGTGCTATTTATATATGTAAGCAGAATTTCAAAATTCAAAATCCCTCACTCTGGAGAAAAACTTAGAAATGAGACTTAATATAAATATTGTTAACTAATAGCAAGTGTGACTAGGTTGTGATGATATTTCATAATAATGTCACGAGTCTGAATGTCAACAACATTGTTATATATCAACAAGTTTGACTAGGTAGCGAAGTAGCGATGCTACTTAAACATGCAGCTATGAACACCCAGTGTTTTGACACATTGTTGTCATCAGATTATTGATGTTAATGAGAGGTGACAGTCCCCTCTCCAAATCGCGTGAAATGCGTATCTGAAACCTGGTTATTCTGGAAGAAATGTTTTATCTTGGAAACATTGTATTCTATCGACCCAAATCCCCGGGCTCGACCTAATAGATTTTAAGGTAGGGCTAGTGAAATCATTTTAGATGGTCTCTGATTTTTTTCTTTCTTTAAACTTTGCCAGCAGACTAGCTCTATCCTCATTATGAAATGTTGTACACCCCTTAAATTGCCAAGCTACCTAGAGCTAGGTAATAGATATGGAACCAGGTCAGGATGGTAAAGCAATAGGATAATCTATGTGTACCCACCCGCCATATAAATAAAACTTTCATATATTAATGTCCATCCCCCCCACATTCTTAGTTCGAACATTAAGAGTTTAACCTTGATAAAGCATGGAAATCATTACACTTAAATGTTCATGGTTATAAGTGTTAATTAGTGAAAGAATACTGATTAATATGTAAAGCAAAAAAATATTTGATTTCTAACAAATGTGAAAAGAACCATTCCCCTTCCTAATATAAAAATGTGGGAGACTAGCTCTGGATATTTAAAAATATGAAATCACAAAATAATGGGATATGGAATAAGTTAAATAGGCCTTACTGAATTTACTCACAGAAAAAATGAAAAAAACAAATCTGGTCAATCAATAGATTGTTAACAGGTAAAAGGAAATAGAACAAAAACATGCAGAAAATGCCAATTTAATATACACTAAATCGTTTGTTATCATAAGATTTGTCATAGACAATTTAAGTTGACAATGACAATATATATCAGCAGTCAACATTATGATTATGACAAGCAGAACAAACCAGATATGATTATGAATGGATTATCATACAACTGTGTTGCCATGCACCGATACATCCTGGACTGCTACCAACTAAACACGTGTTTTTCACAGAAAGAATATAAAACAAATTCATTTAAACTATCAAAGACTTGCCAAGCAATGAGAGGCTGTCCTGTAATCTTATCAGCAAACATAAACACATAAGCAGTGTCTTTTTGTTTGCGTTCATCGCCAACTGTCACGATACGTTCTACCTGATCGGCAAATGATACGCTTGATCCCGATGCAGAGAAAGGGTGTCGGAATAAGACACCGAATGAAAAATACATTTTTAAGAATTGTTTGTTTAATGTACTGCTTTCAACGACTCCCTACAATTCATGCATATTATATTATAAGTTATTAACCATTTACTTACCTTGTTATGGCAGATAAGTGAAGTCAGAATGCAATCTATACGGCTACCTTTCCTTATCTTCCTCTGTGCGAAAGGTTGTCAAACAAACACGGGGACGTCACGAAGTGCACCTCGTGATCAATTTCTACGATTGTCATTGGTAGCAAGGTTTCCAAGAGCGCCCTTAGTAACAAGGGAGGTAATCAAAACGGAAGCAGACATAGAGTAGTGCCCCATTAATGGATTAATTACCAGAAGGCCAATAATAGGATACATATATGTATATACATATGCTAGTTTGATTGTTGTATGTGTATAGCAAGCTGTTATTTATTTTTTGTTTTATTTTTTAATTATTCTCTTTATTATGCTCTGTTCATTGTTATCAAATAGTTCATATGTACGTTATATATTGACAGCAAACGCTGGTTAAACCAGACAAACACACTTTTACATTAAGCACGTCAAGTAGGTCAATTACCTTTAATAATACTGAGTGATCTTAAATTATGGTAATTTCATCAGTTTACTACATAAAGATACGGATGCTTGTACCTAAATTACCTATCCATCTAGAGCATATCTAGTTTGAGAACGTAAACTATATGGATAGGTGATCAACAACATGTACATATATTAAATGTTAACGTGTATTAAGGAGTGATTGCATATTATATCTGATATATCCGGGAGTCTATAACACCCAACAAGTAGATTTGTAAATACATTTAAAGACTTGAGCGCATAATAAATCTTGATCGTAAATAAAAATTCGTTTCTTCGTAAATCAAACTGACCATAAAACTTTAAAGTGAAGATTGCAATAGCGATGGATTTAAGAGGATTACATTGTAAACTCAGGACACTTGGTGTCTTGTGTACATATTTACATGTTCATATGGCCCACCTGGACAATAGCACATATTACTGCTCATGAAAATCTGTCGGTAAAAGTAAACACTTCAATTTTTAGAAATGTGCAAAAGTATAAAAACCAGACAAAGGTTTAGTTAATGTGATATGACATTAACTCATCATATTTATATCTGTTGTATTATTTTATTTATTGTATGAAATAAATGGTATTCATTGTGATGAAATAATGCTATTTCTTAATTTATGTAAAATTTATCATGGAGAGGGCCTTTGTAATGTTAATATAACTTGTGCCAAATCCGTTTGCTTCATTTATGCAATAAAATATCTTTTAATTAAAGCAAATATGGTGGGGACTTCAACGAATAATATGAACATATGTAGCCAACCCGGTACTGCAACGCTAGATGAGCTATACATAACAGGTATCCAGACGGAAATAGTAACATTAAAATATATTAAAAAAACACGCCTCTACTGATCTTTCTACTATTTTGCTATGACACATCGTTGTGCAGTGGGTGTGCAATCAAATTATATGTTTATGGATACATGTAGTTTATGTTCGTTAAGCAGAGTAAGCAACAACTAAGCGCGGAGACTACATTTCAATGTTACTATTTCCGTTAGGATACCTGTTATGCCGGTATAGCTCCCCCAGCGTTGCAGTACTGGGTTGGGCTACATGTTCACAATTCTACAGTCTATTCAAAATTCCAGAAAATAATCCCAGTCAAATGTTATCGATTCGCTTGGCCCGGCAATTACGTATAGTTATGTGTTTATCAAAATCAGAGACGTGTATGATAACATTTTTACTGGGATTATTTTCTGGAATTTTGAATAGACTTTAGAATTCTTTGTAAGATAACAATGATTTATTTATTACAAAACGATATTTTCTCAGTCAAAAATTCACATATTACATAATGCAATTAAGAAATTAGCAACGCATGCCGATGTTTATTTATCGTTTGTAAAGGGCGCGAAAGAGGGGCGAAGCTGTCATGCCTATAAAGCTAGTATTTACCTATAATTTGAAAACCTATAATTTCTGAAATCAATTCAGCTAAACTCTCTTCATGTATCATCAACAAACTCGGTCATCTAGGGTATTTCCCGGTTCAGACATCACAGGCGAAACGATCGACTGTCTCAGAACGAACAGCATGACAAGGAGAAGGCAAACCATTGCGTGGGAAATGAAGTAACAATAGAAAAAGCTGAATATTTCGAATAGTTGACACTTATTATTAGTGTTTCGGTTTTCGTGCTAATGCTTATTTTTATGAAATATGGGATAAAACCCCAAAACATTTCTGTTGGATAGATATTCTTAAAATACATTTTTTTTTCGAATTATAGCATAAGCCCGTCATGGTGTGTGCATTATTCAAACAAATGACACCTGTATTTGATTCAATAGTAAGGCTAAGCTCGGTGCCTCTTGATTCGCACATATTCCGTAGCCATGTACTATTTAAAAATCCCATTTTTAAACAATTCCTATTTTTTTTCGTTATTTCAAATGAAAAACATTTCGTATTTGTATACACCCAACGTGTGCAAGATACTTATATGCAAGGTGAGAAGCATTTTAGAAAACTCCTCCAAATGAAGATTGTATAAATATATCGTAGATCATTACGATATGCAGTTCTACCTCACCAAGTCACTAACTTATAAGTGTAAAAATATCCTCAGTAAGTATAGGTTACAATCTCATATACATATATATAAGTATAGAGACAACCAGGCAAAATGGTGTACCTAGAGCTCAACGGCGGTGTCCGCTTTGCAATAGAAATGACGTCGAGGATGAAACCCATTTTATTTTGTTGTGTCCAGTTTACTCGGAGCTTAGAACCCATTAGGTTTATAAACCTCAATTGGTCTTGAGACAAATTTTATGAACCCATTAAGGTTTATACCCAATAAACCTCAACAAAATGGGACTCTATCCTTATATTTACATTCAGAGCGATATTGATATTTGTTCGGATAATTTCTAAAATATCGGTCTTGTGCAAGTCTTACACCACGGAAGGTATCAAAACTTATGGCGCCATCACTCACTGTGAGACGTCGTCCTGGTAAGATGAATAAGCAAATTAAGATGTTAATTATTTTTTGAATTCAATTGAATACTTCTGACAAAAAACAACAAATTGAAAGCAATCTATGAATGGAACTACTTCCCGCGCTCCGCGGAATAACAGAGTAATCAGGTTGATAATATGCTCATGTATTCATACGCCAACTGAAAAGTTCATTGAAAAATAACCTTTAAAATGTTAAGTAGGTATATTGAGTCCAAGTTCAGTAGAAATGTAAATATGCATATTAGACCCTATTATTTTCGTCGTTCGTCCGTCTATCAATTAATCCAATTATTCGCCTGCAAAAATGTAAAACAATTGAGAAACCATAGTAAGTATCTAATTCAGGTTACTTCTAAAAAGTCTATACTTAATATCTGATCAATCGTGTATGATTATATTATATTATATTATATCTACTTTATAATAGTTCTTAGTTGTGCATATTAGTTATTGGAGTCTAAGACTTGTATATTTGTATGTGCATACTGATGTTGTGGGAAACAGTATTACAATTTGATGAGAGCAAAAGACCTTTAAAGGGGTTTGTTGTTAAGTCAGCAATGTTTAACTTAGTTCTATGTTTACAGTTGTATATAAAGGAATTAGGTTGTAGTGTTCTGGTAATATTACATCCCCCCTCCAAATAGCACCATTGAGAGGAAAATTTAAAAAAGAAATGCTTACATTCCTAAACATTGTACAACTATATCAAGACATTTCTTACAGTGTACTAGTGCACACAATTGTAAATCATTTTAATATATGTAGTGTAAAACCTTGTTAGATTGCCACCATCTGTTATTATATAGAATTGTGGTATTATTGAAGGTTATCAACAATAGATGTCTGTAGACATACAGCGACATTAACAATATAGCAAGGTTTTACTTTACATGTTATTAAAATAAAAGACTCAAGAGATGAAGTCAAATTTTGATGTTTTAATCAAGATAAAACATGATTTGATATGTACATATTCCACTCATACATCAATCAGCTGACATACATAATATCACTCACTTCGAGTATCAAAAAACACTAGAAGGATGTTGGCAGAAGTTTCTGTGAGATTATCATGGTACAATAAACATTTGACCGCTCATTATTGGATGTCTCTCATTTAAATCAAACTATTCATTTGATTTTTCATTCATATTTTTCATTCATACCAAATAATATACAATATATACAAATAAATATATTTTGTGAATAAATACTTTGGATATCAACAAATTTCAATGCCTTTTAAAGGCATCTTCTATGTACAAATTGAAATGCTGTACAAATAGTATAAATATCACATATGGCATGATACATAATATCAATGTGAAACAGTGACAGGTAGATATAGAGAGGAATAGTGTCTACACAGTAGCTTTTCAAGTTACTTTTATACTAATATATTATGCATTCCGTAAATGGAACCGTTCTATGTGAGACAGCGTACCATGGTCTCGTACTAGATCCATCAGGTAATACCTGCTAATAGTGACACTCAGTCCATCAAGTTATACCCGTTGATTATCACATAAACAGAATAATGGCCTGATTTATAAGTTTTCCTTATGTCCATCGAGAAATAAAGTCATTTAGTATAGGTAGTATTAACAAATATCACATATTTAACACAATAATTGCACTTTATGTTGAGGTGTGTCACACACAACTAGGAAGTATATCTAAGCACCATCTTGTTTTGCTAGTATCAAATGTAAGTCTGTCTACAGCATCCCGGAAAAGTGAGCATCGTAGAGGGAGGGATGATGTTTCTGGAACTGCCGGAGTTTCTGTTTCTTCTCCTTCAGAGTCATGTCTGTGTTGTCAAGGATACCATTAACCATGGACACTAGGGCTTCTGCAGTACAGTCTGTGGCCTGCTGCTCATACTCCTGGGGTGTAACCTGCTGGCAGTAGGTGTTTTCTGAAAGGAAACAAGTAATTGGATATTAGTTTTTTGAAAGACATCAAAATGTTGTTTAATAGAAACTATGATAAATGGGATAAATTATATGATTATATTTTCATTTATTATCATTTATATCTCTAAAAGCAGATCTAGCAGTAGTGAATTAAGATTTTTACACGTGAAGATAAAATAAAAGAATATCTACCAAATACTTATAAAAATGATGAAAAAAAATGTTGAAAAGAAACCATCTAGGTCAAAGTGAGGATTAAGAAAAAATAGTTACTATTATGCAATTAGTTTGGAGTAAAAACTATCAGTTTAGTATATGTGATAATTACCTCTAACTGGTGAGACCTCTCCGGTACGGAGATCGTCGATGCGGGAGTTGACACGGTCACGGATCTCCTTTGGGATAACGAAGATTTCCTCCACATTAACAACCATAAACCCAACGAGAATGCGAGCAAGCTTGGGGGCCACAACCTTGTGCTTCATGATGCTGTCAGTGAACTTGTTCAAGAGAAGGGTCTCATTGTCATCCTAGAATGAGAAAGAATTTAAGATTATAGAAATTTTACATTTTGAAGAATATTTTAACATGCATTAGTGAAGAAAAGACCTTTAATTATTTGATTTGAAATAATGTAATGCAAAGGCTAATTTAACTTTTCACTGCTCATCCTTATTTATTTATATTCCCTGACAAAGTCATGGGAATGTTATTCTAGTTTGACATACCAGGTAAACAACTACATGTGAAGGTGATCAATGTGACAATAACGTGTTTACTGCTCACATGATATCAGTATACTAGTGTAATACAATTACAGGGGGCTGTTATGATGTATGTCTTGAAAAAAAAAAGTTTAATCATCCAATCTTGCTTTAGTTATTCTTAATTTTTTATTCCAACAAGTCTGAAATGTTTAAAAGGAAGAGTTTTTGATGAAATTAAATTTGCAATCCAAACAGGAATGCCTGTGAACATTTTCTATAATTTTACACTTAAGGCTTGTATTAAAGCATATGTGAAATTTACCTTAGCATCAATCTGTATGGACTCGTTCTTGATGGCAGCCATGAATCGCAGGAGACGTTGCAGTTCCTCTCTCACGTGCCACGGCAACAGGATCATGTCGAGCTGAAGAGCCTCAAGTGCCTTCTGGTCTGCCTGCTGGAGGATGAAGTTGAGGACAGCAAGGTGAAGGTCAATGAAGCGCTCAGGGAGTAGAGACTCGTCAAGCTGACTGGTGTAGTGCTCGCTGATGATGTGGAAGGCCTGTAGTTTGGCAGCAGGGTTAGTATCACGGACAAAGCTGTTCTCTAAGACACTGATCCCCTTCGGCAGACACTCGATACAGCTGAGGGCAGAAGACATGAAGGGATCCTGGCCAGTAGACGATGAGGGCATGTTCCAGTGCTTGGCCACCACATTGGAGATGATGAGGTTCTGCTTGATGTACTTCTTACTGGGCTTCTCGTCGACTAGGAGGCCATCAAGGAACGGAAGGTCGATCAAGGTCAACAGCTGGCACAGGGCAACCTCTTTCCAAAGCTCCTCTAAACCTGATAAACAAAAACAATGATATCAAACATATGGTCCACACAGAAGAGTGATGACATGAATACTGTAACATTTTAATAGGAATATAAAGCTTACTTTATGGAAACGTCTGTGTTTAAAAACATGAAAGGTCCTAACAGGAATAATTTTTTGAGTTTCTTTTATTCAAATGTTTTCTTTTGTTTCCAGTTGCTTCCATGTAATTTAATATGCCTGAAACTTTTGTCAGAAACATGCTTACTGCCAATATAACTTGTGACATAACATTATTTGATATGTGAGATTATTTTTAACAAAATGCAACGATTTCATTCAATATCATACAAGTAATCTAATACATTGTTCATGCAAATTTCAGGCATTTCTAAATATAAAATTTAAACAACACAGTTGAACTTGCAATACAGTTTTTACAACATAATTACAAAAACATTCAAAACTGGAAAGCTTCATTTCATAATAATGTAAAACTTTTCATCAAATGAAATATAATTGGTTTTTCTTTTTCATTGAATACCTTATTTTCACTTAAAAAAAGTATTGAAATTTTTGCATGTTTTTTTTTGTTACCCGGTAAGTGTATTTTTTTTACATAATATAATTTCTATCCAAATTTGGTGAACACATTATTAAATTTCAATTTGCTAACCAGATTTTTGAATGTCATTTAAGTGCATTACTAGGACAACACGAACCTTCAGGAGATACATCATGCTTCTCCTTCATGCTACGCATCAACATGGAGGTGTTGGCACACTTCAGAGAGCTGCGACTACGTCTACGGCTGTACGAGTCCTGGAGGGACATGATCTCCTGGAGAACCTGACCTTTCTTGTTGACGGCTATGGGGTTACAGATGACACCATCCTCCATCAGGTCGGGCTCAATGCTGGGGTCAATTCTGTCAAGTGAAAAGCAATTTTGTTAGACAAGGAAACTATACAAGGTTAAATAGGAGTAACTCGTTGAAATTTGAATAATGAGTTAAGGTTGTATGCTACCTTAAATAATACCTGTGATTTATTTTTAGAGTTTTATGCTTTCTTCCATTGTAAATCAGTAACCTGAGATTTGTGTCTCATTATTGTGCAATTTGGTAAATTACATAAAAGATCATACATGTATTTCCAATCATAAAAGGGATTTAAAGTATCCTGTGTACAACTCCTTAGAAAGACAATTCAAGTTGCAGTTTGGTAACTGATAAATTTAATCATGCTATGTTTGAAAGCTGCATCAAATGGTATTTATGTTGGATTGAGCACTGGTGTAGAAAATATGCTTATAATATTGTCTAAAGCTGACATCAAAATGGCTCTGTCAAAGAGACCAGGTCTGGCAATACAACTCATTAGCAGAATTTTGTTATGAATTAAATATTTCTATAACAATACTCTGGATAATTTTGAACTATTATAAAAATACAGGAATTTGTGTTCAAACAAGTCCAAACATACTTTTATTTGTAGTTTTCTTGAATCAATGTCATCGTTTATAGCGTTTTCATTGAAAACTTACCTCATGTTGTCGCTTTTGCTGCGGCAGTCCACCACGATGGAGTAGTTCTGGTCCTCGTCAGACTCCTCAGACTCCTCGATACGATTCTCCTCCTCATGCTCCAGGTCAGGGCCAACAAACCGATACAACTTGCTGTGACTATCATCAAATGTCTTCTTGATCTCGCTGGTTCGTGAACTGACAGGGCTGAAGACGTTGCGATCCATGAGAGACTGGCAGAGCTGTAGATGGAAAACAAAACTTTAGATATAGGCCTCAAAACCCTAATGTTAAATCATCAATGTAATTGTACACTGTCTGTTTTTATCACTAGATGTCACAAAGATACAAAGTTAAAGGTATATTTTAAGTGCAAGTTGAATGTAACCAAGATTTCTTATAAAACTGTCTTTGCATGGTGGTTGTATCAGTAAAAAGAATAATTTGCTCAAACTAAACCTGCTTTGCATTACCATTACAATAAAATACTAAGCTTGCCCAAACTTCAACTTGATAATCATTTGTTTTTCATCCTCTGTAACTATCATCTCCTAGCCTTATGTAGAATATGACAAGTTGGCCATTATATACAATTTTCTTGTTGTCAGCTTAAATATTTATATCATTTCCTCACAAAAACAGAATGTTTTTAATGGGAAAAAATGTTTTACATATATATATAAATGTGCAATTATGCTGTTTTTCAAGCTAACAATATTTTTGAATGTTAATTCCATTTTTTTAATGAGAAACCAAATTTTTCATGAATAATTGTCTCCAGGGCATCGTTTTATTTTAATGCTGGAAACTTGTAGCACTAAAACAGTAAGATTGACAGGTATGAACTATCTAATATACTTGTGTAGTGCCTACCTTGATGGCTTTTTCCCTGGACAGGTCACTGCTGAAGGTGTTGCGATCGCCGAGAAGGTAGTGTAAAACAACGTCTACAGCATCCGTCCCACAGAAACAGTTGTCGTAGTTGCGCATCTTGTAGCGGCGACGCTTCACCTCCACCTTGGTCTTCAGGTGCTCAATGATCTCGTTCCATATCTGTGTTGCACGGAATGGACCTGGAAAAGAAAATAATACATTACAGATTTTTCAATAGCAAATCTTTTTAATCTGGTAGAAAAAACTCCTTACTCAAAAACCCCATCAGTAGTTTTCTCCTTACACGATTTCTAATCATCAGAAAAATTCTACTTGCACCAGATCAAATAAAAAGCTCACAAAATACTGGAAAAACCTGTTTAAATTATAATTTATAATTGTTTTCTAATTAGTTGTTTGAAAAAATATTAATAAAATATTTAAAGTAATGAAAAAAAGTATACTGAATTATCATAAATATTTTAAACTTAGGAGCTTTTAAACAAGGACAGACTTTTATGATAATATATTAACAGGTATTAGGAATAAAATTAAAAATCTGAAGCAAAACAACACATGTTAAAAACACAGAAAGAAAAAAAGTGACAAAAAGTTACAATAAATACATGTAGTATTAAATACCTCTTCTTGTAGAATTAATGGTCATATTACTTGTATCCAGTGTCCTAGTCATGATGTCAAAGTATATTCACCAAATGTCTAACTACACTACTTCTCACACAACTACTGTCCTGTGGTATAGCTCAAAACTGACCACTGTCCTATATACCAGTGATAGCAGATGCTCAAAACAATTAACCAGCAGATAGTACAAGTGTCAAAAAAGACTTAATCTTGTTACAGTAATTCTACCCTAATTTGCTAACCAGTAGGAATGGAAAATGTTGAATGACTTGACTTGATTCTGGCCAGTATATATATGGTAGGTGGTCAGTGTTTGGACAACAATATCTAGGAGTCTGAGAACCTGCTGACAGATGTTATTGAGGACTTGTGGTGACCAAAACAACACCAACACCTTGCTCTAAGTAAATAGCCCCCAATAGCATATCACAACACTGACCACATATGCTTGACCTTAGCCCTTGACCAGTACAGAAAATCCTTAACACAACATCTTGGCCATTGTATTCTAACCTTTTTCATGTTGTGTTTGACTTATACAATGTAAACTTATCACAACATCTTATGGCCATTAATGATAAACTTGAGCTGATATTTCACCTAGGATGAGTATTAGGAGAAGATAATAGCACCTGGTCAATCTACCTGTTTTCCCAGATACAAGCTGTTTGTATACCATTCCTCAACACCTTTCATGAAACATTTCAGATGTTGACTTTTCTTCCATTAGTTTTATTGTGACCTTCACTATCACAGACATAGTGGGATCTTTCTCATTTATACAGGAAATACTTTCTTTGTTATAACCATTAATTCCATGAAAGAAGAAAAAGTTCCCACAAGGTAAGCAATGTAAGGAATGTCCAGATCCTGTGATATATATACATCCTGCTACACTTAACTGATATTTATATACTTATAAACCTAATTCATTTATTGAAAAATATGAAGAAAAAATGAAGTTGAAGTACATGTTTATGTAAATGTTTCAAATATATTTAATATATTATCTGTATAATTCAACAGCTGTTGTTAGTATCATATTATAACTTATAATCATTTTGATGTCATTTGTTTTCTCTTGACTTTTAAACAGTACAGTAGATTTATTTTCACATATTTATTTTCACCCATTGTGTATTCAAATACTGAAAATATCACTCTTCATGCAAATAAGATTAAACTCTATTTTATGTTTCATCCACAGGATATTATTTTACACTTAATTTCTAGAAATCTTTCGATTTTGTTACAGAAATATATCAGACATATTGTGAGTTATAAATTTTCAATGCAACCAGACATGTGTTCAAATAAGCATTTAAATTTGCCCTGCACTTTTAATTAAATTCTTTGTTATGGGCAGTACTTGTCTGACAACATTGTTTTGCATCAATACAATAAATTGGTTAAATACAAACTTATAATGTTTTAGACCAAAACCATACTTCAGTGCCTTATTACTTATAATTAATCATACTGCTTAAAATCTATGTTTAATTGTATTCTAACACTTATAGGAAGTCAACAGCTTTGATTATAATATTTGTAATTAAATGTATTCAGTTCAATATTACTTGAGATTAATACTATAAGTAAATTAGTATATGCTTCATAAGCAGTAATATGTTCTTCAACTCAACGCTGCTATATGCATGGACATTATTTAGCAATAACATGTAGTTTATGTTGTTGGGATAGTATACATTCTTGCATAAAAGGACATGGATTCAACTGATATTCATCTATAGAAGAGATAACAAGAAATAAAACAAGGTTCAATATTCCCTTGAGATGGATCTAATAAATAATGCTTTATATCCAGTTAGTTGTTTATATTTATATACCAGCTCTATCAGTACTATTCCCTGTTCATAACATTTACCCTTTACATAATTTCCAAAAAGATTAAGGTAAAGTTGCTATATTTTTAACATGGGACTAATCTTATTAGTGCTATATTAAAGCATAGAACTATTTTAAGTACTGTATTTTTAGGAGGTATCTTTTTACAATAATTAATTAATTTGAATATGAAAAGCACTAAGAACATTTTCAAATCTAAAAAATTAAATCCAATCAACATGTATGTCAAATGTGCTTTTTCTTACATGTATTTTCCCCATCCCCCATCAACAACCACTCATCTCTATTGTCAAATTATGAATCAACATGAGTAAAATATGTGAAAAGTATTTTTTGAAGAATGCATCTGATACATATATTTAATAGTCAAGTGTTTCCAAGTAAACATTGGTTAAAGAGCACCATATTTTATACACAAAAAGGAAAATTTATATCAAACTCGAGAAATGAAATTTATACCTCTCCGGAAGGAATCAATTATAGAATATATAAGTACAAACTTTGTTTAGAAAAGTACTTACTATCTCCCTCCGAAACTAACCAAAGCCAAAGCGTATTGTAAGTTTAGAACATGTAATACTAAGTTACCAATTGAAAGTGGTAGGTGGTTCAATATACCATGTGAAAATAGATTATGGTGTTATGTTATTTAAGAGAAATCGGCGATGATTTTCATTATCTGTATCTGTTAACATGTACACATCAACCAATTCTCAAAAGTAGGCAAAAACATTGTCCAGATATTATTATGAAAGACCAAACTCAGTTAAATATCATACATTATTAAATTATGTAACACTACATGAATTGACATCATTGGCTTAATTTATTACCGATATTAATGACATAATTAATTTACAATACTAATATCCATCCTGTTCCATCATGTATTATTGTCACCCATTTGTATATATGTATTATCTACACTGTATTGTTTATGAGAATAAAACAATTGTCATTGTCTTTGCAATATACCTCTTATTATATATATATTTATGTGAAAATTCATGACAAGCATTTAAGTCTGCTGAAGGATGATGCCACAACACCTTTTCTAGTAAAAGTGGCCTTTTTTTGACCCCAGGGTATACCGTAATTATTGGGTTATAACTTTAATATTACATAGTGGTTTTAAGGTACAGTGCAGGTTGCAAAATAAACTAATTAAAGTTAGTTTATTATACATATTACGTTATCAATTACAAGTATAAAACTGAAGAAAATAGCCAGAGTTACAATATATCCAAAGGTGAATTAATGAATTCAGTATTGTTTTTTTTTAAAATCTATTTTAATATTTAACATACACACTTCACAATAACTCTACAAAGCATGATTAGTTATCTTTGCTATACAACAAATATTACTTTCAGGGAAATAATTTGAGGTCATTTTTTTTTAATTACCTAAATATATATATAAAATAAATAAATAATGATCTTTGCTCCCCAACCATCCTCAATTGAATTTTATTAAAAATACAACGAATGTCTGACCATAATAGCTATAAAAAAAGTCACTGGTTTTATTAACTCAAATCAGTGAAATATTACAATAATATTTACGTCTCTGCTCAAGTTAAATAAAATCTACTTCCGAACTAGTTATTCAAACTGCTATGACTGTCAACAACTAACAACACTAAATGATTGAATAGGGAACAAAAACATGATAATAAGATGTACTCCATTCACAAACATTTCTTGGAAATCCAACACATATATATATATATATATATATAATGTAGCCAATGACCCATCTTAATATAATCATTTTAAATCACAATAATATGAAAAAGGCTTTTGTTTTTAAAAAGGGAGACCTAAGAAATTAACAATATCCTTTGTAAGAAATGAAAATTATTGATAGAAAACAGCTCCATATCTGTTTTTAAAACAAATATATATAACTCCATATTAAATTAATGTTGGAAACATGTTCATGAAATACTATTCATCTGCTTACATTTCTCTTCGCAAAAAATTCTATTGAGATAAATAACTTTTTATTTTCAGGAATAGTTTCAAGATGTTGTTACAGAATGATTCACATTTAATTTGATTATCTGAATATGAATAAAGTTGAAGCTAGACTATTTAAATACAAAACTGAAAATTATCTGCAATTGTTGTTTATTTAAAACTTCAATAATATAAATATGATTTCTATAATAAAATGTTGTTTTTTATTTGACGTAAAGAAATAATGCTCTGATTCAATATAGACATATCTGAGACATTTTTTAACATATTTTTTATATACATCTCTATCTATCAACGAAAAAAACATTAATATATAAGATAACTAAAAAAACCTTGTTTAAACTTGTATATTATATACAAATAGAAATTAATAAAAACAATTTGAAAGTATATTATGTACCTCTGATTCCCGGTGAGCTGGTTGCCATTGTATTGTCTACAGGTCCGGCTAGTAACCTATCCTTACAGGGGCTATCCCACACAGAACGACTCCACACAAACCTCATCCTCACAGTTCTAATGTAACTAGCAGCTGAGCTTTAACAAAGGCTATAGTCCTCACTCTATCTTATCCAGAATCTTTGTGATGCTTACAACTTGTACACCTGTATTTAATGAAGGCACCTACTACAAAGTATCTACCTGTGCTCCACAGGTATGAAATTGACACCAATATGCAAATATGAATCTGACTGACATCCTAGCTATCGCCAGTAAACAAAGGGAGGTTCAAGATGTTGTCTTAGCAATCTCTGAGGTCAATACATAGTAATGTAATGGGATTAGGTCATCTACCTGTTCCCACAGAATCTATTGTGTCCACACTAAGGTAAAAATGTACAGGTGTAATTGAGTCTGACATCAGCTACTGTCCATAATTGGTATTTGGGAGGAGTATTGCCTTCAAACTCTTATTATACAGATATGTTTCTTTTGTCATGAACTTAGTGGCAGTATAACTGACAAAAAGCTTCTGTGCTTAATTGTTATTTGCAATGAGTATTGCTGTTGTTATTTCCACCTATTGGTCATCTGACAGGTTAAACTTCTGTCACACATTCAAAAAATCACTATGTCAAATAAAAATTTCATTACATTGTTTTGTTTTATTTTTTTTAATTTCTGTTTAAAACTGAGAAAATTTCAATTAAAGACACTTGAATCTTTGAAGGAATAACCAGTTCTTGATTTTTTAAGAGATTACCTAATGAACTAATGATTTGTCCACAAACAGCACTAATTAACTAAACACTATGAAAAATAAAAATGTAGTGAAACCAGTTTTGAATTAGAATAGACACACCTAAAATTAATTATACTTAAGATTTGTGAAAAGTGTTCACTATAATATGTTGTAGTGATGGAAAAAGACCAATAGATTCATCGAATCTATGTTTTATCAAGCATTACTGATTAACTTAGAAATTATCATCTGAAGTTTGTTTGATCATCTATACATGTTTATTTTATATTTCAACATTGAATGATTACTACAGCACCAATTATGATCAGTATTACTTGACATGGGTAATATATGTGTTTTCTACTATGCCTTTGTTATCTATCCACCATTTATATATGAATATGATACATATTGACCTCTTGTTACATACTTTGTATGTCTGATAGAAATAAAAATCCTGAATACCTGAAGTTTTGCTGTTAAGGGTAATAAAGGAGTTTCCTCCTCTGCAAATCATAAATTTGAGATTTGTTTGTATGCAGATTTTGATTTATTTCTATTTAGTAAAGTCCCCTCAAAAGGCAGAAACATTTACAGTACATGACACATTATACAGCCAAAAATAGTTTCATCACTGCAACTGATTTGCATTTTCTATTTTTTTTTCGTTTTAAAATTCAACCAAAATAATTTTGGAAGTAGTTTAAAAATAA